TTAAATCGGATATTAGAAATCAGAAAAAAATCTGGAAATTTTCAGACTCAAAAATCGGGAATTTTCCGGATCAAAAACGGCCCATTTTTTTTAAGGGTTTGTGTTGCGTTGGTTGCCTTTGGTATCCACGTTGCTTGGTTACCTTTGGTAGTGTTGTTAATTTTTGCTTCCAGTGGGTTTTTTTAGCGACTGGAAGTCCATTGGAAGATTCAATTTAATATTAATTTCACTTCCAGTAGTCTTCCAATGGTCTTTCAATGACCTTCCGAATGCAACAACACTGGCCTTTGGTATCCATGTTGCGTTGGTTGCCTTTGGTATCCACGTTGCTTGGTTACCTTTGATTACTTGGTTGCCTTTGGTATCCATGTTGCGTTGATTGCCTTTGATATTCACGGTTGCCTGGTATTCACAATTGCCTTTGGCATCCACGTTGCGTTGGTTGTCTTTGGTTGTCACATTACGTTGGTTGCCTTTGGTTGCCACGTCACGTTGGTTGCCATGTTACTTGGTTACCTTTGGCATCCACGTTGTGTTGGTGCCTTTGGTTGCAATATTACTTGGTTGCCTTTGGCAACCATGTTGCGTTGGTTGCCTTTGGTTGCCACGTTGGTTGTCTTTGACATTCACGTTGCATTGGTTGCCACGTTGCGTTGGTGCCTTTGGTTGCCATATTACTTGGTTACCTTTGGCATCCATGTTGCGTTGGTTGCCTTTGGTTGTCACGTTGCGTTGGTTGTCTTTGGTTGCCACGTTGGTTGTCTTTGGCATCCACGTTGCGTTGGTTGCCTTTGGTATCCACGTTGCGTTGGTTACCTTTGGTTGCCACGTTGCATTGATTGCCTTTGATTATCACGTTGCGTTGGTTGCCTTTGGTTGCCACGTTGCGTTGGTTGTCTTTGGCATCCACGTTGCTTGTGTTGGTTGCAAAAATAAAAAAAAACAAAAAGTAAAATAAAAAAGAACAATAAGCAAAATAAAAAAAACAAAAAGCAAAAACAAACTAGTCAAATACGTATACATCGGTAATACTGATGTGACGTGAAAATTACCAATCCCCATATAAGTCCGGCTCAGACTGTCCGACACATTGTCTGCTGTTTGATCACGTGTAATATATATCACGTGATATTTTCGTTTTTTGATTGGCTAATCGGATCAGAGATATATAAGTTATATATCTCCAGCCAGAGATGCCTATAATTACCCAATCTCAAAATATAAAAATGATATAAAAGATGAACAGTAATATATTTATTATATTCTTAACTTTGATCTTTTAAAATTGTTTTTAGCTAGCAATGTCAACGCAAATAATAAATATTATTACAAGAGGAGCGCCAAATATCAGGAAGATGGGGTATGTATTATGACTCATCTTGATCCGGTGGGATGTCTAATAAATAAAAATCACCTGATATTTGGCGCTCCCCTAAGCACATGCAAGTAGTTAAAACCTATTCACCAGTATTTGAGAATCACGTCTGACTAAAATTTCAGCGTGTATCTGATTAACTTATCATTAATTTTGTTTGCAACTAACTGCCAATTGAATGGATTAATTTCGAGATTGAGATTATTACGAATTTTTTGTTTCACAAATGGCTCAAACCAATAAGAATGAGCAAATTTTTGATCAACCCGGCTAAACAAAAAGCGAAAAATGTGAACCTGAAGCACTAATAAAAAATATCAGGAAGACAATTTTACATACAACTTTGTCCTTCAGTACTAACCCAAACCCTAGGGAAGCTTGTATTTAAGTAAATCCAGCTGGGGTAGTTAGTTTTCTAGCCACAGTCAGAACTCGATCACTATTTTTATTCCCGCATCGCGATCATATGTTTTTGAGCAAAATCCATTCTTATTAATCAAAATTTTAATTATATATATATGTAGCGATAGTCTATTAGTCAGATTTAAGGTTTATTTTGAATAAACTAATAATAAATTGCCGTTAAACATCTAGTCAAAAATGGGAAAGAAAAAGAAGAAGACTGTAATGCGCCCATGGTGCTGGTGAGTCAGCTTGTGTGAAACTATAAGCATAAACAAATCAAATTTATTAAAAGGTTCGGACATTCTCTCAAGGTACTGTGAACGAGATTTCGAAGACGAAAAAGTTCTAATACAACATCAAAAAGCCAAGCATTTTAAATGTCCACATTGTAGTAAGAAGTTAAATACAGCAGGAGGCATGGTTGTTCACGTTGCTCAAGTCCATAAAGAGACAATAAGCATGTAAGTAAAGAAACAAAAAGTTTCTAATAGATTGCAATTCTGTTTTGATATGTCTGCATTTCTTACTTCCTCCTCGTAGCAAAAGATTGATAATGTAAAAATTGAATATTGAAGTTTATCAGGCTAGTTTATAAATTGACGCTTTACATATTAAATCAATAAACTCGGGTTTTCCCTTCGTTATTTTTGTTTCTAGAGTGCCAAATGCGTTACCAGGTAGAGAATCAGCCGATGTGGAAATCTTTGGTATGGAAGGAATCCCGCCGGCTGATTTAATAGCTCATCAGGAAGCGTTGGATGGTGATAATCGCACCAGTAAAAAACAAAAAGCAGACGATGATGAATTATCTCATGATGAAATACAAAAACAACTTGCTCAACATCAAGCAATGATGCAGAATACTCCTTTGAACCCATATTCTTATACTGGCTATAATTCTTCACAGATGCCATCATTAATGCCGCATCAATATAGTCAATTCTATCAGAGACCTGTAGTAGCACCTAACCAACCTTTCCAGCAAGGGTATTCTTTTAAAAAACTTCTTGAATTTTTTTATTAGTACACTAGTGATTTGATGTTCTATTCTAATACATACATAGTACAATACCTGGTCAAGCTACTGCAACTGGTCAACCTTCTCTTTGGCTTCCTCCTGTCGCTGGTGTTACTCCATTATCAGGATCGACACCTTATAACGCTACCCCGTCACCTTTTACATCGACAGTCAACACAGCTTTTCCTGGACCTCAATTCCCTCCTAGACCATTAATACCGACAACAAATCCACAATCTCAAATTTACCCAATATCTTCACATTTACCTATTCTTACACCCAGTGACAATTATAATGTATTTAGTGGTTCCTCTAGTTCTACTTCAACACAATATCAACCACAACATGTTGGAGGATCCGGATTAACTCCATCAGCTTCTGAAAATATAGCAGAACAATCATTTAATGGCTCTAAAAAATCAATATCTACTGTTCTTGTATATAGCGATAACGAGATTTCACCGGTAAGTATTTTTTATCTTTTAGATTGATGAAATATTACCATAAATCAATTATGCATATGTTATAAATACCAAAATTGATAATGATATTTATTTTACAGGAAGAAAAACGTGCTGCTCTCGAAAAATATCGATATAGTGAAGATGATATCAAAACTCAGGTGCATGCTCTCGATCTATCTGTCGAATCACGTATTGCAAATCTTAAAGGGAGGGTTTTGTGATGTATATGATGGGTGGTTTGCTCTTTTTAGGAGTAAGAACTGCAATTGTGAACGGGAGAGTACCTTATCTCTGTTACACTATCTACTACCATTACTATCCTTAGATATCATCATCATCATCTTTTAAAAGACTCTTTTATTGGGCAAAATATCTGGTAAGAAATAAACGTGGTAAGAGCCAAAAGTCTTTTCTTTGGGATAATATCGTCATCGTCGTCATCAATTATAATGTGCCCAGGATGCAAAAAATAATGGGAGGAGGGCATCTTTGCTAGTACACTTAACCACATGTCTGATATCCATCCTTCAACGCACCTGCTGGGGTTTGTACTTTTTATATATTATTTGAAACGTATACGTGTCATCATCCTCATTATAATTCTCCATAAACACATAACATCATCACATCCCATCCATCCCATTCCATCTTATCCCATCCCATTCACCCTTCTTCCTATTATTGTCCTCATAATAATTATTTTCAATTAGCAGTTGAATAATAATCTTTTCAGGTTAGTTGTGCAAAGGTAGGGTTTTTTCTGTGTGCGTATCTATATAGACTATAATAATATAATAATAATATAATGGATTGTGTGAAATAAATGTTTAGATTGTTTTATTTCATTAAATTCATTTTGAAACTTTAATCGTTCAATAGATAGTTAAATACTATAGCGAATAAACGAAATTCCTATACAATTTATTTATAATTTTTGATATAATTGCGCATGTACAAATACCCGGAAATAAGAATCCTATATAATACACACTGAATTTCAATATAACGAATCGAGATCCAAAATAGTACAATGGGAAACAGCATAAGATATTCACTTTAGATGGCATCATATAACTTAAAAAGGTAATATAAAAAAAATAATTCAACAAATAATAGCTTTTGGTTATAATTTGGTTAAATTATTTTTTTAATTTTCTTTTTCTCTTGAAATATAAATTTGTGCAATTACAATTTTGGTGTTTATTAATATACACATCCCTACAATAAATTACCGGAAATCCAAAAAAAAAGTATAGTAAAACATAGTAAAATTGAAATTATTTCTCTATAATGAAAATTTTATTTTTATTAGTAAATATTTTTTGTTTTTATATCAAAAAAAAAAAAGCTAAGAGTCTGTATTTTAATATATATTTTTTTATAAATTTTTTAAATTTAATTTCAGAAATATTTTGGATTGTAAAGTTGGTTACACAAACTTTTTATAATTAAAAAATTCAAATTATTAAATTTTAATTATAAAAAGTTTGTATAACTAACTTTACAATTCGAAATATTTCTGAAATTAAATTTAAAAAATCTATAAAAAATATATATTAAAATACAGACTCTTAGTTTTCTTTTGATATAAAAACAAAAAATATTTATTAATAAAAATAAAATATTTATTATAAAGAGATAATTTCAATTTTATTATGTTTTACTATATTTTTTTTGGATTTCCAGTAATTTATTGTAGGGATATGTAGTTTATTTTTCCAAAATCAATTTTATAATTTATTATAACTAATAAAAATTGATTTATCATATCTGTTTTATAATTCAAATCTAATAACCTATTATTTTTAATAATTAATTTCAAAATATAAAATATCAAATTTAAACAAGTTATTAATATTATTATGATATTGTCACCATTTTACTTGGGTTTCAAATATATTATATCTTTTTACGTGCTCAATACGTGTTTCAAGTCAGATAGAAAAGATAAGATAAATAATTAAAGGTTGGTGACGTGTATTCATTTAATTACTAGTCAGCTAAAAAGTGACTTAAGAAATCTTCTTATAATTTAATGTGTATTTAATAATTATGA